CGCCAAAATTGCTATTAAGTGCAATGATACCAGCATCTAGATACCGTCATAAATATTGTGGTGTACGAAACCGATCCCCGATCGGCCTTAGTCTTTGTTTTAAAGTTAATACAAATTTTAAAAATGATTTAAATGTGGCCTCTAATGGTTACAAAATCCCCCACCTCCGCATTAAGTCATTACACCAATTCGTTTATTCCTTAACTATTAGGTACATACTTATGTGAACTAGATGCGAAAAAGGAAGATAAAAATAATAAACACTAAACATAAAATATTGACTACGCTTATTAAATCGAACAATGTATGTAGGTACCTATCCCCCCCCCCTACCCCCAATCTATTTTATTGAAAACTTAAAAGACTGTTGTCCCATATACATATACGACCAACCTGTAACGAATCGAGACTTGGGGCAACAGAGCCACGACAAAACCATTTATTTAAAATTTTAAGGCGGATGGGCGAATAAACAACAAGCACATCAAATAAACAATAATGCGAGGAAGTTTAAAACAAAAAAAAGAGAAACTTGGATCGCGACTTTAACGACTTGTGTGAATGTGTGATCATGTTTGGTTGTGTGACAGTATTTCTCTTCTAAAGTTAGAAGAGAAAAAATAAATGAAAGACAAAGACAATGGACCACGAAAACCTGAAAAAGAAAATGGGTAACAGTGTTAGTATCATCGTTTAAAAGAATATTTGGATGGATGTGAATCGTTTTACTTACCGTTCATACTGAAACAAATTCAGAGTTGATTTATAAAAAGTGTAAAACAATTTATATTGTGCACACGAACTCACTGCACTGATGGGGTTGTGATGCTGTACTTATTTCATAAGTTATAACATTGAGGTAACAATTAAGTTTATGTGTCTAAATTTACATATAATTGTATGTTTAAATTTAATCGTTTTTATGCGCCACCAGTGTGTGTGAGTGTCTGTGTGTTACAGATGGAGTAGGATTAGTGATAGTAATTATAAATTGTACCTAATGAATTTGACAACAGTGGCGGTAAGATAAGGATGTTTGGGAGGTACAATCGGAGACAAGAGTACATGAAATTAGAAATTCGTGATTAATTAGGTTTTGCAGCATATCATGAGGTAAATAAATACTATATCTATACTAAAAAAAAGTATACGGTTTGAAAGAAAATTTGGAATTTGACCAAAAACTTTGAATAAAGTAAGAAATAACGAATAATATGGAAAATTTTTAACTGACTTTTGGCAGTGAATATGCCTTGATTTCAACTTCGAAACAAAAAAATATTTAGTTTCAATCTCTATTAATAATGAGCGTAAAACTTTTTAATATGTTTAAATAATAATTAAAACTTTAAAATTGCATTTATTTCAGACAATTATAAATATTATCATTATATTATCAAGTAAAAACGAGATTTTCAGCTAATTTTTCATTTTTTCCTCGATAACCATTTAGTGAATTTGAATAACCTTACGCTAAAGTGATTCTCCAGAGTTCAAGTTACTTATTATAAATGTTTGAAATTTCTGGTAGCCTTTTTTTGTTAATAAAAATAAAATTAATCTGTTCGGTTAACGAATCTCCATAAAATGACGTGTAAAAATACATTTTTTTAAAATTTCAATAACTTTTTAACAGAGTAGTGAATCGATTTGTAATTTTTACAGGAGTTTTAGAATTCAATGAGGAACGTTATTCCAAATTTTTATTTGTCTCGTAGCATTCTGACATACCTCCGAAACATCCGTAAGTCGGACGAAAACGAAATTAAATTACATATTCGCGAACACTCGTCTACCCTTTGGACGAACGCTTATGACTTATGACCAAACCGCAATAGTAATATTTAATATGCAAATTCATAAAAATTAACAGTTTTGAAAAAGTAATTAAATATTGGTAATGAAAAACTTCTGGGCTTTACCAGCTAATCTAGACAAAAGATCCCACATTAACCATTGAGACGCCAATCATACATCGTGAAGCACTGAAGATGCCAATTATTAAGAATGGCGAAACGTCTGCAATCAGAATTCGACCACCACAGAAAAACCCAGAAGCTCTTCATCATCAATTAGACACCGGCCCTGAAAGCCTACCTACTACTGTAAATATTGCTATCTAATGGTGTCTATGCATGGATTAGTACCAAGTTAATCGTTAAACAGGAACAAGGTAGTAGGCAAAATTGAAAACTGAATTAATATTATATTATAATATATAAATCGTCGTGTCGCATGCTTTAAAGACGTTTTAGACCATCCGTTTNATCTATTTACAAACAATTCCTTTAAATTTAATTTTTCAAACAATTTTTAACACAAAGAAAATGATTAAACAAACTGTGTTCACAATAGTGAATTTCGACCACTCGAAGCAATGGTGCTAACAGTTTCGAGCTCACAGTGACTGATAAGGGGGGGCGGGGAGAAGTTGTTGAAATAAAAAGAAAATTTAAAGTTATTCGTCAATGTTTCTAAAAAAATTCTAATTTCAAGTTTAAGAAAACTAAAAAGAGACTGCCCCAAATTACCACCAGGAATACATACGTGATTAATGCAAACACGTGTCTCGCCCACTTCTAATGTGGGCATAATTAACGCGAGACCAACGGGGAGAGTCTCTTTTTAATTTACTTAATCCCTTATCATCACAGTGTCCACTTTCCCCTTTTATTCCAACATATTTGCATACTTTTATCATTTAAATTGGCGCCATCTGTGAACCGATCCGCGAGCCGCCACTGTTATGCCAGAAGGAGGTATAATACACTATACCTTATTAACACTAACATTTAATATTTCTGCAACACGGTCTTCTTCTTCTACACTGGCTGAAAAAAATATCAAATAGACCCATCGAGTGACAAATAAATGCACATATAAAATAAACATGTAAACATATGTGTAAGTACATGGTGTAGGTGTATTAGGTATGTGGAACACAACACCCAAATGACAGCGTGGACAAAACACCCTGTAGGTAGATAAGTAGGTAGGTATTTTAATGAGATAATCAAAAGTTGTCCATCCTCGAGTATATGTTCAGCAAAAAACGACAAGTACATGTAGTAGTTATATAATACGGTATAAAGGACCTAAACCAGCAGCTAATAATCATAAAACCTAAATAATAAGAATCAAAGTTTGACGTCACAGGCGCCGTGCCTGCATACGTCGGTCCCTAACACGTGAAACGACTAAATTGGATAATGGACATCCAGAGGAGCCCAATAATGCGCTAAGTTACAGTTTGTAACTCACCTTATTGGGCGCAAAAATCAAATTAGCCCCAAAGTAATAAAAATCAATAATACAAATAGAAATGGAAATATAAAAACTTGCCACTCGGGTCTATTTGAAACAATATTCATTAGTGACTTACTTTGAGGCGTCGGCTAGACCTCAGTAGGGTTCACCGAAACCTTAATCTATCCAGCGTTGGATGTCCACGATCCTCATCCTCTCCGTGATGAGCGATGTGGGTGGGGGTGGGGGGTAGATAGATGCCACACTAGACTGAGAGGTGAATGGAGAGGAGAACTATCGACCATACCATTCCATCACATTTTATCAAACGTCCATATCATTGAAAAACACTTGATTAACTTTCAAAAAATGGACACTCAACACACTCACAAAGACCTGAATTATAAGAAAGAACCCCCCCTTAGATAAATGTTGTCAATATTAATATGTATTGTGTTACCTATATAAGCCCAATTTCTCCCTGAATGAAAGTAGCGTATGAACAATATTGGGGTCTTGCTGATAAAGGACTGCCTTGTCATCCTAAATAAACAAAAAAATGTTTTAATGAAACGGTCGGTTAATAAATCGTCATTTTTTTGTTACAAACCTTAATTGAGTTCGTTAGTTTACGAGTTATAGATGATTATTTTATTTACTTATTAAAATACATAACCATGGAGCATGTAAGTCTGAAACAAAAAATTGTGTTTATTAATAGCAACTTACTAATAACTGAAAGTCGTGTACCAAAAATTAGCAATTGTTTCTGATTGAACAAAAGACTAATTAACATGTAATAATTATTTCAAAATTTGAATTCTTGACAGCTTTTATTCATAAAATTTTTTTAGCATCTTTCCAAACACCCTGTAGATCATTAACGAATAGAATGGCATCTCTGGTTCAAAAGAAGTAGTTTGCTAAGCTAAAGTAGGAATCGATTCCTAGTTTTGCTTCTTTAATACAGAGGGCGCTGCTAGCTGTTTGCTAAGGTACAAGATTACCAGGTGATCACAGATGCTATGCGGGTGATCTACCTAGAAAAAATTAATAATTTTATATATGGAAATAATCAATTTAATCGTAAGTGTAATCTAAGAAAGTCTGCGTTAGAATTATTATTATTAATGCCATAATTATTGAGAATAATTTACAATGTTATAATATTTTAGTTTGTAAACATTTAAAGCGAGTAATTTAGAATTAACTTAATACTGGAAAGTTAACTAACACATTCAATTAGTTACATTAAAAAAAAAATAAGAAACAGAAAATGCGGGGTTTGTATCACTAATAAAAGCTTTGTTGGTCTCTAGAATATTGTTTGAACTCTCTCAGATCATTTTTAAAAGAGAAATTCTGTAACTTATATCTTGGAATGAGCCAAAAGGTTGGAAACAATATTGTAGAGACTAATAATTAACCTTTCAGTGAAACTCATTAATTTTTTACTTTTAATTAATTAATCTTCTGATGAAAGGTATTAATAGATAATTGTGTATGCTGTAACATAATTGAATCTACTCGTTTTATATTACACATAAAACATTAAGGTTTGTTGCCAAAGCAAAATAATTGTAAAAACAGAAACCTATGGTCTAAGGTTTTTACCTTATATAGAGAATTGGAGCCTTGTTGCTAGAAGGTCCTACTTCCTTTGCATTAAGGGGAGAGTAAGTCCCTGTTGAATCCTCCCTAGTTGATTTGTGTAGGTATTGAAATCATTTCGAAAAAGTATAATTCTCAAACCAATTACTGAAAAAATAGAAAACATTTTATACATTGATACAATAAGGCTGAAAGTAAATGAAATTAACAGACTAATATTATTTTCATTTCAAAACAATTGAATTGAAATGTAGATATAAATAAGAGATTTAACATTTATTGTAATTGTTAAAATGAGAGTATTTCATAAAATTCTCAGTTGTACATTGTAATTAGAAAATGTTACTACAACTGAATATTTGCAGTTTGCTTGTACATATTTGAATAGAAATTTCTTTTCTATTTTATTTCCTGGCCAAATCAATTGCAAAGTGTGCAGTCAAAAACCAATATTTTCCATTGTTAAAATTAACGATACAGAATGCTTACCTTGCTGAGAAGTTATGTAAATGGAAGTCTCAGTTGAGATACAAGAACGTCCTAATTCCTTTTCGTTAATTGTGAATGATGTTTTGAAGTTCTTATCCATTGTATTGATATGCTGAGGAAGGCTTAGAATTATAAACTGAAATTTTTGTTCCAATTGCTGTAAAAATGCAGAAAATGTCATATGAATCAATTTTATCATATAGCAAGCAGAAAATTAACTAAACATTATCATTTTATGTTTCTGAAAAGTACTTGATTGTTTAGCAGGTGCCAAGCAAAAAATAAGCTGATATTTTGTAAAATGCATTAGTAGTTTACGTTGGAATACATTAATTTGTTAAAAATACTGTTTTATGTACTTTTACTTTATAGGAAACAAGTGAATTTGAGAGAAAACATAACAAAAATATTTGTATTTCAAATTATTTTTAAAATGAGTAATTTTAGAAAATTGTGCTTTGCAGTCAGCAAAATACGGACGGACAGTCTGTTTATATTACTATTAAAGATTTGTACATCTAAATATTTGAAATTTGGTTGTATTTGTATTGAAAGGTGAAGGAATGAAAGCATACGAATAGGTCCAGGTATCAAAATTTTTAATTATATGAAAACTCATGCATTAATGTTAATTTGTGAAAACCAATGAATTTAGTTTGGAATCAACGAGGTATTAGCTGTTTTTGTCACCTTTAATATTTATTATATTCATAGGTTACATTGTCGAATGTTTATCTTCAAAAATAACGAAAATCATTTCGGGACGAAATAAAAAAATGCATACCTCATGTAATGAACCATTAAAAGAACACATTTTCATAAAAATTTTTTAGGCTCTAACACTTTTACTACAAGAAAATTCCAAAAATTGCAGAGATAATTTTGGAAAAAGAAGTTTCCATAAGAATAGCGTTACTTGAAAGAGGCATTGTTGATCAGCCAATCAGAGACCAGCAGTAAACTTGTGGTTTTCAGTGCCAACTTTTGCGAATGTAGGCGCGAACATTTTCAAATTTGAGTAAGTAAATTTTTTCTGTAGTTAGCAAAACATTGGAAGTTAAATTTTAATAGAAAGTTAAATTAAAACAGTTAAATGTGATTGTTTATTAATTTGGCTTGTATCAAATTATCATATCAATCAATACAATATGTTTCAGTTTAATTTCTTAATAATATTATAATGTAATAAATTGACTAAAACTGTTTTAATTTATTTCAGAACTCTAATTCAGCGATCCGTCCCCCCAAAAAAACGGGCGCGAATAAAATATTGGATGTTTTAAACGATGACTAAAGTGTAAGTAAGTAATCATTGAGTATTGTAATTTAAGAAAGCTAATTGCTCTTTATTAATGGTTACCTATAATACCTTTATTTCATATTTGTGGCATAATTTTCATCATTACTACGTATCAATTTCTTCAAATAAACTTTAACTAATTAAGTTGTTATAAGTTATTACTTTATTACAATAATTGATATTTACTTGTTTATTCTGTTAGAATTCATACCTTGTATAAACAGTGAAGTTGAGTGGAGGCCTCAATAAATAGAAATTCAAGGAGGCCGTAATTCGTTTGCACCAAAAGAAGTCCCTATCAGTTAAATCATTTTAGACGATTTATGTGGCTATTAACAGTATGTCGAAGAAGTCTTGGCATTAGAAACTAATTTCCATCCAGTTACTATAAAAACACAAAAAATGTCTTAGAAATGATTATAATATTCTAGCAAGGCGAAAATTAATGAAAAATCCTCATCTTTCTATCTCTGAGATGGCTTCGATCGTTTTATATGTACCAAATAAAAACAAATTGTTATTTTGTAAAATATTTTAATAGTTGACGTTGGAATACCGTCATTTGTTAGAAATACTTCTGTGTATACTTTTGTTTTATGGAAAACAATCGAATTTAAGACAAAATATAAGAAAGATACTGGTAATTCTTGTTTTTATCAGAATCAACTTATGTGTTTGTCAGTAAAAAGAAATAATTGAATCTTTGTGAAATACGACTAAGAGAAGAAACATATGAAAGTACAGTAACTGTACGCATGACATGTAACTTGTGTTCTTATTACAAGTATCACGAGGCTCGAAATATAAAAAATATGAGTAATTACATTGGTGTCTGCAAGTATACGTAAAATATTCTTGCAGTTCTATTGCTTTATCAATTTAAATAAATTTGAAGCCCTTTTACACTTAAATTCGTTTCTTTAACCTTGATATAGGTACAAAACTTGCTTTTAATAAATCACGAAAATACTCGTGAAGCGAAGTAAAGCAATACATACCTCACGTAGCAGACAATCAAAAAAACACGTTTTAAGAAAAATCTTTTAGACTTGTGCCCTTTTACTATTAATAATTTATAAAAATATTCGAGATTAATGCTTCCGTAATGGTAGCGTCACTTGAAAGGACGATTCTCGATCAGTCAACCAGAGAAATGCACGAAATTCACAGCCAACTTTGTTAGTGTAGTTGGGCGAATTTAAAATAATTATATTATTTGTTATATGAATATGTTTATTTATTTATTTAAAGACATCTATTTATTTCATTTATGTCCTGGAACCGAAACGTTTCATTTTTTTGTCGTAAATAAATAATTTTAGAATATTTATCTACGCCGGCAAAATTAGACCGACGTATTTTACATTCATACTTAAACAGTTTAACTGATTTTTTACTTTTTAAATGTTTAATTAATACAACATTTTCGTTGCATGTAAATTATTTTAACAGTTATAATCCTTGCTTTACCCCGATTCATGTGCGTACATATATGAGTTAAATACGATTATTTACTAACATTACTGAGGAGTCTCCTTAGTGGGAGACTTTACTTTGCAAAAAACCGCCCACTGTCTTTAATGTACATTGTTCGGAAATAAAAGATAAATTAAAAACCCCAAATTAATTTTAATTTTGATCAACGTTTTACACAAATTCATTGTCACACAAACAGTCATAGTCCCTTCCTTTAAATGATAGTGCCGTCACATAGTAATTAGAGAAAATCAACGAGCTTAGCCCCCATACAGAAAATAGATAGGCTAATAAGCCAGCCTACAGAGAACAGTTATACTGAAGTCACAACAGGAGGCATGTTTATAAATTATGGAAAAATATATTATATAATAAAATACAGATAATCAAATTAATAAGTGGTAATAATACAAAAAATATATTTCCTTAATTTTAATAACATGTGTAAAAATAATTTTTGTTTAATTCTACCAAAAAGAACCCATAAGAAGATTAACTTTGAATTCCATATTGTTTGTAACACACTGTCTTTTAATTTAATCAGAGGCAAATTTAAACAGAAGACTGAGACTTCATAAAAAAAATACTGATAACTAATGATTGCTTGTGACTTAAGACTTATTGTATTGATACTTTAAGTTGCGGGCTGCTTCTACAGCTTCTTTTGCTTCTCTTAACACTCTTTGCTTCCACACCTCATAATCTTCCAATTGTAAATCTTCTTCATCTTCATATTCTCCTACATGAAAAGGATAATTTGTACTTAATTAAAAATCATTAGGCATTTTTTAAATTGATCAAAAGTTACCATACCATCACTTTTACAATCTTCAAATAATTTATCAAAACCTTTATTTTCTTCATGTTCTTCATTCGATAAGAATTCTTTCTTCACCAATTCATTAAATTGACTCTCCAATTCTTTCCATTTGGAAGACTTTAGACGACTTGCAGTTATAAAATGTGATTTCTGGACTTTTATCTTCTTTAATCTACAATATGAATATTTCACATAGTAAGTAAATATTTTAAAGCTTACTCATCACACATTTTCAAATATTCCTTTAAAAAAAGTAATTTAAAATTAGAAAGACTGTATTATTTATTAATTCAGCAAATACCACTAAAAGTATAAGAAAAATTACATGCAGGCTTCGTAAACTGCGGCAGTAACGTAATGACTCTGTACAACATCATCAGGAATATTATTTGCAATTCTAAACTTCTCAAGAATTTCTCCAGCTAAACTTTCAACATTCCTACAATTATGTTGACTACAAATTTCTTTAATGGTCACGGGTTTATCCAAATCTAATATTTTTTCAATGGTATGCAAATGGTTTTGATACACTTGTTTTCGAAAACCACTTAATTTAATGCCAACACACTGAAAACAATGAACTTATTCATCATACGACATACGCTTTCGTACTACACTTACTCTATCAAACTTCACACCCAAATTTGTTGCTGCTAACTCTAAACATAATATAGCTTTTGCTGTGTTGTTTAAGTTCCTTAAGAGAGTTTTATTCAGAAGAACTCTATAATATTCTTCCCCTTTACTAAAGCGTTAAAACATTACTGTTATAAAACTTAACAAAAGGTATGGTAATTGTAGTTTAAATGCACCTACCATAAAACAGCTTCACCTTCAGATATATTAAGCCGTTTTATTAAATCAATCAAAAGAGTTCTATCAGACATTCTACATTTATTTTTGGATATATCAAATAATCAACACGGTTTTAATACGCAAAATACGTTGAATTTTTTTGAGGTTATTTACCTAATCTATGGTTATTTACCATATCACAGATACTAAAAATTGTGGCTATAGCACCTACACAAAGGATAATCACAAAATGTTGTCTAATCATACATTATCAACAATAAAATAAAAATATAATAATAACTACGATGTTTGAATAAATTATATTATGTTATTACATTAATGATTAATGACTTTCTGCTTTTTTTAATCTAATATAAACAGTGATTGATCAATGTACTATTGATATTGTAATGCATAAAATCGGGGAATCCTTAGTAGGAACAGAGTGGATAAGAATTTTTTGCGAATGTAAAAGTGATGCAGTCATGAAAGTATCAAAACGAACCGTGCATTTAAAAAAAACGTTAGTCATTACAAATTACACTATGAACTATGTATTAGACAAAATAGTAAAATATGCACCAAACTTTTGAATATTTAAAAATACTATTCTGCTAAAAGACGTACATTTAAAAATGTATGCAGAATTTATTGGTGCAAGCCGTTTTTGAACTGCATTTGAAACAATATAGATAATGCTACCAGAACACACATAAAAAGAATACGTATCAAATAAACAGTAAAAAGGCGCACTTAATTTTTCAATATTTAGAAAGATTATTTTGCTAGGTCTAAAATATCAGAAATATATAAAAATGTATGCAGAATTTATTGCTGCAAGCCGTTTTTGAACAGGATTTTAAATAATATAGATAGTATTACTAAAATTCCACCAAAAAAAATGCGTAGCAAGTTAACAGTAAAAAAGCGCACTTAAACTTTCAATGTTTAAAAATATTATTCTGCTAGGTCTAGAATATCGGAAATATATAAAAATGTATGCAGAATTTATTGGTGCAAGCCATTTTTAAACCGGATTTGAAACAATATAGATAATGCTACCAGAACTCCATATGAAAAAAATGCGTGCTAAATACACAGTAACAAAGCGCATTTAATTTCAATGTTTAAAAAGATTATCCTGCTAAGTCTAAAGTAACGAACCTAAAACTCCACCCAGTATTTAATTAATTTATTCTTTTCGGTTCGTAATTGGAATTTGACTAGTTCTTCTGGCAGAATTATAAATTACTATGTAAGTATAAATGCTTTCTGTGAAATCAAAATATTCTCGTTAAATAATTTCACTTTCTACTGGGTAAGTAGGGCGTTCTCCACACAGTATCGGTAGATTTAATGGAAAAAATATATATTTCAATGCCGTTAGAGTGTAACCAGGATACATTTCTAATTTACACTGTGATCTCAAAACTTTATATTCATATTAGGTACCTACTATAGAAGTTGATCTACAACGGCTTTTTTGGTGAGTACCGGAAAACAGTGATAATCTAATAGAATTTTATTCTCCGTTAATTATAATTACTAGTGATGTTTAATTATCGACGCAATCAATAGGCACCAGTTAAATTTTTAATGTAAATAACAAATAACGAATCCAATAACTACATAGAACTACAGAATTCTGAGTTTAAATACTTATTGATATATTTTGATAATTTCCCGCGGGTAAAAACTAAGTTGAAGCACGTTCATCAGATACGCAAAAGTATACATTAAAATGTAAATTTAATTGTAAAATTACAAATGCCGATTCGTCGAGCTAATGACGCATTATTAATTAAATTTTAAATATTTGATAAAATCATATTTCAGTGGTTTATATTATTAACCCTTCTAGAAACAAATGGTTTTAAAAATGGCAAAAGATTGTTATGCATTATTTGAAAACAATTTTCGTAAATACGAATAAACATTATGAGAATTGAGATTTTTTATCTCTTTATCAGTTTCTGACACCAAAGTAAAGATCTTGAACTTTGTTAGGTTTCGGTAGTTAGCATGTGATGTTTACTCTTTTATTTAATCATTTAATGTACAACACATCCTTTCTATATATAAGGTTGGATACGAGCTTTATGTAGTGCTTCTTTAGCGTCCCTTATTAATGTTGTGGAATATAGTGGCTTCTACAGTAATTATTGTTATTAAACGTAAGCATTTACCTTATTTTAATAACACCTTTGATACTTTTTAATAGTAATATTGTTTTTAATTATTAATTAAGGTTGGCTTTTTATTTATTTTGTACAGGTATCTTCTCCGTATTTTAACTGTTTAATAAAGACGACTAAAATGTCAGGAGTACCAGTAACAATTAGAAAGTAAGTATTTAGCTATCACATACATTATTCATTATTTCGTTTATTATTTTTATACAGTAAACAACTGATTGCGAATTATTTTTCTATTCCAAAGCCTTATCATTTCATCATTACAGGCTATCGAGAATTAGGACTCAAATCGTCTAATTATTCTAATTTACATTCTAAATCCACTTTCGTCTACTTATATATTGGAGTTGAAGAGTCCCGAATGTTTTTGTAGTTTAAATTAGTTTTCATATTTGTATAAATACCCAACTCTTTATTTGGGTACCACATTTTCTTAAAAAAATTAAAAAAAAAATTCTGAAAGGTCCCAAACTCATTGAAATTGAGAATAAACAAAAAACATCATTCCTTATTACAAACAACTTTGGTAAGGAATACGTTTATATATCTATATAGCTACATATAAATATAAAAAGTATGTCACAATACAAATATGTATATGTATATACTTGACGAAACATTTGAACTAGACAACATATATCTATTTTCTTTGACTTTATTTTACAAATGAAACTTCGGGTGTAGCAGCAAGAAAGCAAGTATTAATTAAGCCCTTTAATCGTAAAATTATCGCGGTCGTTAGACTTTACTCGCAGACTATTTAAAATAATAAAGCACAATTAAAAATGTATATTTTTTATCAAGTAAATAACCCCGATTAGCTATCGTATTGCAACATTATTCTAAGAAATCGTAACTGACACCAACATTCTCCTTATATCTGTAAATACGGAAGTAGATAGTGTAATATTTCAAAATACAAATAAACAACTAAAAAACAATATTCCATCAAATAACAAATTTTCAGAACATCTGCTGCATTTTAAGTATCACATTTTGAGTTTGCTTTTTGCCATGGGTAATCTGTAGGTTCACACGCTTTTAGCCCACAGAAAAAATTGCTGTAACACCCTTAATAAATTATTAAGTCAAAAATATTCTAAATTGTAAAATTATTACAATCATAATGAGCCGACATGACAAAAATATGTTAAACATCTTTTTTGCTGTGGTTATATTTATGAATTTGTCACAAGAATATTCCTAATTCAAATTTAAACATTATTATTTACGCAAATTAGTAATTAAGTATAGATACCGTGCTTAAAAAAGTAGGAGAATTGATCAACAATTTAATAATTTAAATATCAACAGTTGCATCAATCAACTCTTCAAAAGGCCACAAGATTTTTCTCAAATCAGAAACCTAACAGTTCTTAGCAAATCACAAGAAATGCCACCAAACGCAAGTATTCCGATTTTTTAATATAATATCTTATTACCTATTCAATTATTGTTATTAATAAGTATTTTCAGGTGCGTGAATTTGTTGAAGAATATGTCGCACTATGCAAGCCAAAAGAGGTTTACATTTGTGATGGAAGTGAAACTGAAAATAGTATTCTTCTTAATAAACTTCAGAAACAAGGAACAATAATCCCATTGCCCAAATATGAAAACTGGTAAGAGCTATAAGTGCAACTATTATTATCAATAATACAATAAAAACATTTACTTGCAAATAATAAAAAAGTCTATCAACAACAATATTTAACATTAACGTATGTTATCTATGATAAGAATGAAAACATCAGTAAAGTTAGATATGTACGTTATACCATTACAAAATATATCAGCAAACTAACATGTTATTATGAATTGCATATTTTTTTATAGACTAATTTTTATTATTTACCTGTAAAATTACTTTCATTTGTTAATATTTATTATAAGTAATTGATTGTTTTAAATTTTACACAATCAGTATAAGAATGATGCTATCTTAAAGTTGGACAGTTGTATTCTCTACAATAACGATTTAATAACAAATGTAAACTACAGTATATTATTTAAGATTCAATTAACTGGCAAGAGTAAAATTAATTCTTGCGAAATTTTCAGACGTAAATAGCACAATTTTGAAAGATATGCACAGAAGCAGTGAAAAGGAAACAATAAATAACATCATATTTTAACGTCCACTGAGATCCCATATAATCGTTTAATTATTATAAGTAAATTGCAAAATATATTAATCATGCACTAGTGACTCCCAATGACTCAAGTCCTACTTAATGATTTTACTTAAAACAGCCCTTATCTTTTAGTCATGTAATAGTGCCACGGTGAACTTTTTCGATGTTTCCAAATTTTATACACATAAGTTGACCACTCACTACCATAATAATTCCAACTTTTTTGCGCAAACATTTAACGAAAATATAATAGAAAAACACCCGGCTGTAAACAAAATGAAAATAACTACGCAACAAATCTGTACTAGTCAGTTCCCTAGTACGTATATTAACTTACTTATCGAGATAGATAAAATTACGGAATTACACAAAAGCATTGAAAATATGCACACGGAAAATATCAGTAAAATTGTAGAGAAATATTTTAAATATATTAACTGAACAAATTATTTTTGTTGTACTACTTCATTTCAACAAACAACTTTAGTTTGCCACTTTATTAGAAATACTTATTTGATTTTTGAATTTTAACATTTAGGTACGAAATAATTTAATTGAATTATCTGTCATTGTAGCTGGTTAGCCAGAACTAATCCAGCAGATACTGCTCGAGTTGAATCAAAAACATTTATATGTACTAACAAAAAGTCAGATGCTATTCCCACTCCCAAGGAAGGAATAAAGGGCACTTTAGGAAACTGGATGTCCCCAGAACAGATGGACAAAATAGTTAGGGAACGATTTGATGGAGTCATGAAAGGAAGAACTTTATATGTTATTCCATTTTCCATGGGGCCTATTGGTTCCCCTTTATCTAAAGTGGGTGTAGAATTAACGGATTCTCCATATGTTGTTGCTTCGATGAGAATTATGACAAGAATTGGCAAACCTGTGCTAAATTTGCTCTCAGATAACAGAAACTTCGTAAAATGTCTTCATTCTGTAGGAAAACTAGCAAACAAAATCGATGATGTTCCAAGTTGGCCTTGCGATCCCGAAAGAACTATAATTTTGCACAAGTACGAAACCTAATTTTATCTTATTCATCTAACAATAAAATCAAGTCCATTAAAAATTTAAAAATTCTCTCAACAAAATATATTTTTATTAAAACGTAGGCCAGCCACCAATGAAATAGTTTCCTATGGTAGTGGATATGGAGGAAATTCCCTGTTAGGAAAAAAATGTTTTGCATTGAGAATTGGGTCCGCAATAGCTCGATCCGAAGGATGGCTTGCAGAACACATGCTAGTACGATTTTCTTTTCTAAATATGTAATTAATACAATAAACATCATCAAAAAATATTTCGTGGGTTTCCTCCAGAAAAATGTTCAAATTCTGAAGATTCTTTTCATTCTGTAACTCGAGAATCATTTGCTCCAGAAAATAATAAATTTCTTGAAAAATACGAGTTTTTTAAATGAAGTACTATTTTTTTACAGATATTGGGTATAACAGATCCTAAAGGAAAAAAGAGATACATAGCAGCTGCTTTTCCCTCAGCATGTGGAAAAACTAATTTGGCCATGATGACACCGACTCTTCCGGGATACAAAGTGGAATGTGTTGGAGATGATATTGCTTGGATGAGATTTGATACGGATGGTCAGCTGTGGGCTATTAATCCAGAAAATGGATTCTTTGGAGTAGCTCCAGGAACTTCAACAGCGAGTAACCCAATTGCAATGAAAACGATCTTCGAGAATACTATATTTACTAATGTTGCGTATACAAGTGATGGCGGAGTTTTCTGGGAAGGATTAGAAAAAGAAACCGACCCTTCAATTCAAATTACAGATTGGGTAGGAAAACCATGGAAAATAGGAAATGTAAAACCAGCAGCTCATCCAAATTCAAGGTGACAAATTAATTGCTCATTACTTGCTTACAAAAGAAACTTCTACCAACAAATTAACGTAAGACAATATGTACAAAATTATTCAAAATTAAAATTCACATTTATGAGTAGCAACAGATCCTAATTGATTTTATAATGCATTATCGGTTTCATTAAACATTGCATTATCAATTCAATCATCATTATAATAAATATCAAAAAACTTTAACAAGGGAACGGTTGCCTTTTATTCATTAGATAGTCCGCAGATTTGTAAATAATGTGATTCATATATATTATTTTAGATTTTGTACCCCTGCAAAACAATGTCCCATAATAGATCCCCAGTGGGAATCTCCCAAAGGAGTACCAATTTCCGCAATACTTTTTGGAGGTCGAAGACCTCAAGGTGTACCACTAGTATATGAAGCAAAAAATTGGCAGCATGGAGTTTTCATAGGAGCCGCAATGAGGAGTGAAGCAACTGCTGCAGCGGAATACAAGGTCCTTAAGCTAATTCTACTACTATTACATAGTATTTTAGGACTGACTCAAAATTTCAAAAAATAATAAATATCAATAAAGGCATACGTAAAAGTAATTTTAAAAACGCAAGATTAAAAGTTAATCCTCTCGTTAATATTAAGTACATGTTAGTTAATACGCACAATTAAGTGAAGTATGACTTATAAAACCTTTTATTTAGGGAAAAGTTATCATGCATGATCCATTTGCGATGCGACCATTCTTTGGATATAACTTTGGAAAGTATTTAGATCATTGGTTAAGTTTGGAAAACTCAAATAGATCAATGCCTAAAATATTCCATGTGAATTGGTTTAGAAAAGACCAGAATGGAAATTTCTTGTGGCCTGGATTTGGTGAAAACTCCAGAGTACTTGACTGGATTTTGAGAAGGATAGACAACGAAGACTGCGCTCAAGAAACACCGATTGGATTAATACCTAAAAAAGATTCCCTAAATTTAGATGGCTTGAAAAGTAAAGTCAATACAAAAGAACTGTTCTATTTACCGAAAGACTTTTGGGCAAATGAAGTAAGTCTTGCATTTACTTATTTACCAAAATAAGCGAATTAAGGAAAATTATAAGAAAACAAAAAAGCAATACAAATCATGTTTTTGATTGAATATTTCAGAAAATAATAAATATAAAGGAGTACGGAAAATTATTAATCATCTGATAATTGAAAATAATCCTTTCCTTTCCAGGTAAACGAAATTGAAAAGTACTTTGATGAACAAGTTAATGAAGATCTGCCTGAAAAAGTTAAAAGAGAGTTAGAAGCTCTGAGGAAGCGAATCAGTGAAATGTGAAACTGTTAAGTGTGATATTTTTCTTCATGAACAGTGATAAATATATAATCCCTATATGCATATTCTCCTTTGACAAAAATGAACTCATCAAATCATAATGTTCGCCTTTACGACTTATTTTGAAGATTTACATAGACTAGATTATATTTATTTTACCATTCAAACTTTTTCACGCAAATATACCTATTCTTATGGTCCGCGTGAACCGAGTGTCATGTCGTCCCGCATTCTTCTTTAAATGAATATCCTGATCTTTCATTTGAAGCATATATGGTACATGTATTTCCGAATTAAGCAAACAGGTATAAAACAATAAACTTCGTTGAAATACTAAGATAATTAATTTTTATCGTCATTATATCAGTATGTTTACACAATTCCTCCCAGATCAATATCACAAGGTCGTCAATCCAAAAATTGTTAAACACATACCTCAACTCCTTCCTATCCTGAGTTAATACTTGCATTTGCCATGTACAAGTAGAACATCCCCGTACCTGTTTTTCTAAACAACACGTAATCTAGCCTAGGCCTTTCTCTGACCCTCTTTACTCTTGTTTCTGGTTCAACAGTCTCTAACTAGTCCTCTAAGTAGTCATGTATCAGAAGGTGTCCTACGAGATAATGTCCGTATAAAGCCTTAGATACACAACTGAGTAGAATATCTTTAAATATTGTTAATTTTGTTCCAAATATTATTCAATAATGAGTAGCTAATATTATCAGAATAGAAATGTAAAGGATGTACCTAGTTTTTGCAATAAATTATTCGCAATTTACGAAATGCAGATAGTGCAAATCTCTCATCATGTGCTTGTATGTTTGTCACTAAGTGTAACAACATCCGCTTCCTCCCACTTGATAAGCTCAATAAAAAACGGCAGACACGTAACGAAGTAATTTTGCAAAAACTACTTCCCTCGCATTTTATTCCGATAAGACTAGATCCTTACGATCCAATATAATGCATTAATCAAGTTTATTTACAAACAATTCCCATTTTTAATCGGCATTGTTTGTTCAGTAAAAATACTTTCGAAATTTTCTGCCTTGTGAGTAGTAAATATCAAATAACAAAAATAACATTTTCTACAAATAATTTTACGGTTCATTTATAATTAATTCTTAACAATTTTATATGATTTTAATTAAATCTCATCAAATATTTAATTGCAACTTAATATATGGAATGCTAACAAAATAATAATTACTTTACAAATATTACATGGTTATAAAAAAACAAACAAAATTGCAAACGGTTTACAAAGATATTTGTTAATTCAAACGATGTTTACAGCTTTTTATAATAATAACAATAATTCATATCGTCGAAGGATTACCTTCCTAAGGAATAATATGCACATAAACCCTAAATATTTAAAAATCAACCATAAGCTTGTCATAATTTGTCATTGTGCCAGAGAAATCGCATTTGTATTAAAATACTATGTTGTAGCAAATAAATACAATAAACCCCTTACAAATTGTAAAATTTCTGAACCACCTAATTTTGACTCGCCATACACTCTATCAACAAATGATATAGGAACCTCGCCAATTGTAAAGTTAAACTGCCTTGCTCTGACTATCATCTCCATTTGAAACACATACCCTTTTGAAATACAACTGTCTATAAGTTTTTGAAGAACGTCTTTTTTGTACAGTCGAAAAGAGCCTGTCAGATCAGAAACCCCTGGTCTTAAGAGTACCTGTGTCAAAAAATTTGCACCTCGAGATACTAACTTTCTTTTAAAATCCCAACCATATACACCACCATTGCCCATGTAGCGTGTTCCACTTACAATGTCAAAGTTTCCTAACTCTTGCATTTCAATAAATTTTGGTATAAATTTAGGCTGCAACATATTTAATAAAACTAATTGGAATATTAATAAAATCAACATTTGAAGGGCAGAACATTTTATATAAAATAATATCAAAGAATTTAAAGATAAAAGTTTTTTTTTCAAATATAAAACAAGCTTATTATAAACTTATTTCTCTGCCACATTACTTCTATCTAATTTTTAATAGTTAACGTCTCCAAAAGAACACAGTACATGAATTTTCTTATTAAATTGTACATGTACAAAAGATTGATATTTTCTAATATAAAGATGGCGTTATTCCTCTTAACAACAACAACAAATTGCATTCAGCACAAGAAGAAAGATTGCCCTGTTATTTGCTTAAAAATTGTTACTTACATGATGGCTTAGATCTGCATCCATTATAACTATGAAATTCCCTGTTGCGTGTTTAATACCATGTATATAAGCTGTTCCTAAACCTAATTTTTTCTCTCTAGGTCTTAAAAGTATCTTTGATTCTCCATATATTTTTTGAAGTTCCTTCCCAGCTTCTAAAGTACCATCAGGACTTCCATCATCAATTATTACAATTTCATAATCATAACCACTGCAATTAACACTATGGTAACAATGAATCAGAATTGAAGTTGTATTTACCTCTGGTCCATATGTTTTGTTATAAGCCAAATAATAATAGGTAAGTTTTCTATTTCATTATAAGTAGGCAAGAGGATCGAATATTTGTTAAGGTTGTTTTCGACTTTTTTACCCATAGCTTGATTATCTTTACTTGTTCCTAAAATTAAGAATAAGAATATCCAAATTATTTTTGTAAAATCAAACATTCAATTAAATTCTAGCATTATTTTTTTTATTTACACAATTTATCTTAGAATAGTGTTTGTTAGGTTATGGTAATATGCCAACACCCTTCCTTGAAAAAATTCACTTGCAAGAATAGAATCTATTAATAAAAACAATAAAAAAAGAATCAGTGACTATTTATTACAATTATTAGTACCAAATTAGTATAATGGTTAAAACTTCAAAAATAATAGTATGTGGAATGAAAGGTGTAGGTAAAACTTCTATTTTGGAGCAAGCAATTTATGGGAATATTACCTCATCAGTAAGTTACAAAAAATTGCATTTAATTACATATATACAGTGAGTAATTAGAAATTATAAATTTTAGGAAATTCATCCCACTATAGAAGATATATATGTAGCAAATGTTGAATCAGATAGAGGAGTTAAGGAAAAATTAAGGTTTTATGATACTGCTGGGATTGAACATTCACAAACAAGTACTGCAAGCGGTACCACTAGTCAACAATTACCTCGACATTATTTAGCTCTAGCAGATGGATATATACTAGTATATGATAGTGAGAAGCCAACATCACTAGATGTACTAGTTGCTCTCAAAAAAGACATTGAAAAAAATAAAGACAAGAAAGAGGAAAGTAGCACTATTGCAACTAATTATTACTGAACTTAAAATTTAATGTTTTAGGTTGTTGTTATTGTTATTGGTAATCGCACAAAAGAAACTGAAAATAATTACTTTGAATCAACCATCAGTAAGGCATCTTCATGGTGCAGTAGAGAGAAAATTCGACATTTTAATGTATCAGCATTAAATCGGGTTACTTTGTATGAAGCATTTGTATATCTTGCAAGTAAGCTTAACCCCCCTCCTAGTAAGAGTACCTTTCCACAACTGACAATGGGTAGAAAAGTTTTAACAAAAGATATTTAATAACTTATGAGCTCTCTCTTAACTACTTAAAATTGTTTGTATTTTGTATCAATAAAAATTAACATTTCTCTATTTTGTTATGTATGTTTAGAAATTTACGCGCGAAAACGTAACTTTTGAAACTCGACATTAATTACGACTAATCGCACACAAAGCTTATTTAAAGTTTACAAATAAGTATACTTGCCAAGATTTCTGTTTATCAGAATTCAAACAGCATCAAATGATGAAAATTTCTGATTTTATAGAAGAGGTATCAGCACAGCACAAATTCATTGACACATGGCACAAAATACATTAACACCATCATAGAGTACCATATTAATACTGATCATAGATAAAAAATACTGATTAATACAAAAAAACAGCAATTCTATGCTAGTTTACTTATGTAGGTAGTATCATCGATGTTTACTATATGTCTATATGTCTATGGGTAGTATATTATAAATTATAAATCTATGAATTACGACAAATTACCCTTTACCATAGATAAGGCAATTATTTTATTCTGTTTCCGTTTTTGATCATCCTGGTCAGCTAGCAACATGGTGAGCTCTTTTCCTTTAATATATAACACATACTTAGTAAAATAAACATGAAAATCAACCTTTTCAACTTTTTTTCGTGTAAATTTAAAATTAGTTGCTACTTTGTATTTGTTTTGTGATTTGGTCTTTTTTGCTTCTAAAAACTAAGGTTAACGAGTCGAGTATACATGTGATGCAAAAATAAAATCTNCGTATTAAATACTAATCTTTTTAATAAAATAGTATCTCTAACAATATTAGGCATTTCAAATGTTTCTTGTCAATTAAAAGAATCAAATTGTCATAGCAGTACATTAAAATTATATAACTTACAAATTTGTTGCAATAACTGAATTTCACCTTTCCTCTTTTACGAGTCGAGTATACATGTGATGCAAAAATAAAATCTAGAATATTAATAAACTGTGATAGTGAAAACTGATTTAATGAGTCTGATGTAACATAATGGGTTACAAAATACTTTTATTTTAATTTTTCGACTATAATATTTTTGGTGTTTGCTTCAGCCTCCCAAAAAGGATACAAAGGGAGGATCCAAACAACCTCAAAAAACCCAAAAAAAGAAAGAAGGCTCCGGCGGAGGCAAAGCTAAAAAGAAGGTAAACAAATATTTTGAAATATCACGGTGTGTTTAGAAAGTGTTAAAATTTTGCAGAAGTGGTCCAAAGGAAAAGTTCGTGACAAATTGAACAATCAAGTTTTATTTGATAAAGCCACCTATGAAAAACTAATTAAAGAAGTACCACAGTATAAGCTAATTACTCCATCAGTAGTTTCTGAACGTCTAAAAGTAAGAGGCTCTTTAGCAAGACGGGCACTTAATGAATTGCAACAAAAAGGTAAAACACAATTAATAAGTGGTTGGTGGATATTTTATGTGAATTTAATTTTAAGGTCTTATTAAGTTGGTGGCAAAACATCATGCACAATTTATATATACAAGGACAACAAAGGGAGAAGAAGTTGCATAATGTAATATAACAAGGAATAAAATATCATATAATTTGTTGTTTTTTATTTATGGATTCTGTATTTATGTTTGGTGTGCATGTTACATATATTTTAGACATATGTCCTAAATTAGGGTGTCATACACTGTGGTAATATTAAATGAAATTGATAGTGTAAAGCAAATGCTTTTGAGATATGTAGATTAGACTCTTCCGCAAACAGCTTCTCATATAATTGCTTTTGTACTGAAGTTAGTCTGCAGTCATGTATATATTATCAGAATGCCTGCTTTGTTTTTAAACTTGAATGACTATTCATGCTCCTGGGTTTCTTAATGTTTCTGCAAGAAGCTTGAGATTTCAATTGTTTGCCAAGAATCCATCAATAATCAACAAATTAGGTGTTATCAGAAAGGCACAAAATACAAACAGATTAAATGAGGCAATTGACTTCATTAGTATTATCATATTAAAAAACATACTGGAATGTTTGTGATCACACCTGCAAACTTCAGTCTATATAAAATCATAATAGACCTTTTACAGAATAAGTATTTTTGATAAATTTTACATTCTCCAACTGAGGATAACACCTGGGGTGTGGAAAACCGTTTTAAGCTTCTAATTATGTAGATTTTTGAAATTTGGTATTTTATTTAGTTTAACTCCACAGAATTCTTAATTTTAATAATAAGAATAAGTTGCCCCTTATCAAGAATATACCGAAAATCTGCCACTCAATCATTCAAATATTGCAACAATAATGTTTTTGGCTTGTTAAACCACTTGTTAAGAGTATTGCTAGAATACTATTGATATTCCCTTAAAATTACTACCTATATACAACCAGAATGGAAAAAATATACAGCAAGGTATCGCAAAATGCAAATGAGTTAATACTTTCATTTAGTAAAAACATCATTACTAAAAAAAAGACAAATGAAATTATATTTCTAAGTAAAAATTAATCTGCGTTGCAAAGTGAAATTATTTTCAAAGCCCAGTCAATAATAAGAATAAATTTATTAATGAAGTATTTATATAAATATCAATAGTACGTAATTTTTTTATATAAGGTTACAATTTTATCATTCCAACCCACTGTAAATATGTATTTATATTATATATTACATTGTATACTATTAATTAATTTTATCGTTCTTGAGATTATTTAAGATACAATAAGCAAAACTTTTACTAATCATAAGTGTATATACAATAAGTATTTCCAAGACAAAGAAAAGAAAATACATGAAAGTAAATTATTGCACAATAAGAATGTATGCAAATATAAAAGCAAAAAAGCTTAATAAAAGTAAAATATAGTATTTGCAAAAGTTGTATGGTTTTGTTTAATATGCTATCTAAATATTTATCTAATAAAATTGATACCCTCATATTATTGGGCTTCAGTCTGAAAAAATAATACTTCAATTAGAACTTACAGGTATCATTTAGAGAAAAAAATAACGACAGCAATCCTGTAGTAACATACAATTAAAAAAAAAAAACATTAAAATCCAACTTTCAACAAATAAAAAAATACGTAATAAGCAGCTACTGTAACTTTTTCTAACTACTCATGTTACAATGGAATAATTTTACCTCACTAGATGCTTTTTTCTTCCTATGCCTTTTATTTCTGTGCTTAACTGATACTGCACTTGTAGGTGTAGACAATACTACGTTCTATCGAATGTAAGCACAATAAAAAAGGGCATATTATTAAATTGGAATTTACAAATGACAATTCTTAAAAGCATCCCATAATTTCAAAAAGCTGAATACATCATTATTATATATAGTGCATATATTTAACTTGTACAATTCATTGCAATCTACAATTTTTTTGAGTTCTCATACAGCAGTGAAAACATTTCATATCTCTGTAAATATTTTGCATATATACAATTAAAGTTATTAAATGCGTCTTACTAAAAAAAAAAAAACAAACGATTTCTCAAACGACATATAAAAATGTTAATTTTTTTTAGTATATTCAAGGGCATTATACGATTAAGAAACCCGTTCCTATATGATTGATTGATTACAGTAATTATGTTGAACTAAATTTTATAAAAAAATATAAATAATATCATACCTGAGTCAAAAGTGAATTCACATTAGTTGCTCCATTATGAACCTAAAGATTAAAAAGTAATTAACACAAGTGAAGTAGCTTCAAATTGTACGTTTTTATCATACTTTCTCACAACCATTACTTATTTCTGTCAACATTTGTTGAGGCTCCTCGCTAGTCTTCGTTAGACCTTCACAGTTCTTTTTCTTTTCCGCTTCTAGTTGTTCCGTCAGTCTGCTGATCTCCTACATCAGCATATTAGACAAAATTATAGACAATTAAATACACATACCTCAGAAAGTTTTTCAACTATCACGGAACTGTCAGCAGCATTCTTTTTGGATTCAAGTTTTTGACAGTCCCTTATTAGATTTTCTTTGGCCCTTCTTTCATTTAAAACTTGTAACTCCAATTCTGATACTGTACTCCTAAGCTGTAATTAAAATACAAGAAACATTTTATATTTATTGTATGTATTACGATAATGTAAAGTGAGATAGAAAGGTTTCCAGTGATTGTATCATGGTATTGTCATGGCTTTTCGTAAAAAAAGTGAGAAAATGATCTTTCGACCAGTCAACAAAAGACATGACTCAATATATGTAGACGGGATTATCTTTGTAAATCAGCTCACACTCCCTTTTTTACTATATATAAATATTTGAGTGACGTTATAAGCTGAAAAATAAGCTCAATAAATTGTGGAACTACTATTAATTTTGGATAATCGGCGATATCTAAACAATGTTTTATAGAGGGATTGATGTATATTATATGGTAGGTCTACATTTAATAAACACAACACAATAGATATACATACCAAAGGAAATTTGTCTGGGTTAAACACAATATATATATATATAAATACATTTATTACTGCATCTAATTTATAACTAAGCAGATATTTTTCAATATAGTGATAAGAAAATTTTACACCCAGACTAGAATCCAGGCTGGATGATTTCGTGTTTTGCTGTATTCATAAAACAAACATGCACTCTTTAAAGCCATTTCTTACGACGTACTCACCTCATCTAAATGTTTTTGTTTCAGACCCTCTATCTCCAATTCCTTTGCACTTAATTGCTTCCTCCAAGATAACTCTTCTTTCTGAATATGCGACTCCAAATTCCTTAGTATTCCTTCCTATAAAAGAAAATCTTATATTTATATATTTAATAGATTCTGAAATAGCGTTTATGTAACTCGCAGGTACATGTACCGTATATCAAATTAAAGGTCTACGTATTATCCGTTTATTAAAACGCACCAAAACGCACGCCATAAGAATACATACAAGTAATTTTTGCGTGAAAAAGTTCCAAGTTTCGCGAGTTTCGTTTATATAAAATCGTAAGTGGTATCACATGAAAGGTACGTGTGTCTACCATTTATCGGTGTAAAAAACTCAAAAAATAAAATAAAAAGTTCAGCGTCGTACTGTCTTGAAGTTGAAGTTGACGGAGAGCAGCACCTCTAGTTTATATGATTAATGCTTAATATTTTAAATATGCATTTAATAACATTAAATCTTACAGTATTGTCGATAATGCTCTTGTAGTTTACAATCTGTACTTGTAGTTTGTCAACTTCTTCACTATTATCCGACTTTTGAGAGAACTCTTCAGTCTGTTGCCTCACTTCGCGCTGCTCTACCACTTTCTTTGAAAATTCCTGTAAAGAATATTGAACTTGTGGTTTTCTACTACAACAATTCTTTTCTTTTATTTTTCGAAAATTCACATGAGTTATTTGTGAATGTTACTAACTTATATTTCAAGAAGACTACTAATTACTGTTTATAAAATAAGCATCACAACTTAATAAACAACACATTGATTTTTAAACGCAATGCTTATATATCCTTTAAAATAATAATTGAATATGATTATACATCTATTCAAAGTATTTAAATATTTTCCTGATATTACAACCAGTATATTCATCAAAAGCATTATTTGCATTTGGTATTCAGATTACAGAATACTAATTTTACTATAACCAAACTTCTTTTTGCTTTTAATAAATATATTTCGAAAGTATACACACCAATTTTTGAACGTTTTAGATAAAATCTGTATGCAAGTAACTCAGGCATACATCAATTACAAATATATTGTTAATCGAGCCTTTAAATTCTCCATTAACTACAATTTTGCATCGCGTTTGGTTTAACTACAGAGAAAGCTAAACATATGTAAACAGCATGTTTTTTACAATATCATTATTAAAAGTCATTTTTAAATCGATTGCCTCTCGGTTAAATTTCTAAATTGAATAATGAAGAGATCATTTCGAAAACTTACTTTTTCTGATGGATTTTGTTTAGATGAATTTAAAAAGGATTTAATTTTATTTTCCGCAGCATTTAAGGCTTCCACTACTTTCCAATTCTTTTTGCGAATTTCCTAAGTAAATAACAACACTCATTGCATGTTATTAAAAGAATATGCATAAAATAAAAATATATGTGTATTACATATTTTAATGTGCAAAGACTTACGTTGTTTTTATCCTTTTGTTCTTGTAATTCCTGAGATAATTTTACTGTTTGTTGTTTTAATTCGCCCAACTTCTTAGAAAGATCAGTATTAAGAGTCTTATATTCGCCAAGTTCACTTTCAAGGCGCTCGTCTTTGCTTTTAAAGTTATTTAATTCTCTTTGGAGAACATTTAATTGATTATTATAATTTGTAACGTCTTCTTTATGAACTCGTTCATGTTCTTGAAATGTGACTGATATAGTTTTTAAATCATTCTCAAGATTTTTTATCTGTTCTTGGTAGTCTTTTATTTCATTCAACATCAAACTTTGTTGTGAATTTTGAATATCTTTCCTATCTTGTTCCGCGATTTCTAACTGCGACCTCGCCTAAAAAAAAAATATAAACACATACATAAACAAATGTTTGCCTAAACAAAATTAAATCTTACATTAAGCAATGCTTTTTCTAATTCATCTTCTTTTCGTTCCCATTCTTCCCTTTGTTTCTCAAGTTTCTTTAATTGTTCAATGGACTGATTCTTTCCAAGCTCCAATCGTCGAATTTCTTCAATATTTTGCTGAACGGTTGATTTAAGTTGCGAAATTTCCACTTTCAGTTCATTTTCTTGCCTGTGCGCCACATTAAAGCGATGTTCCAAATCTCTACCAGATTCCTGTATATAAAATTAAATTAAATATCATTGTTCATCATAAACAAAATAAACTCACAACACAGAATAACAGCTGTTCAGGTCACATTAAGCAAAACTTACCTCTAATTGTCTAATATATTCGTCCTTTTGGTCAACTTCGTTTTTGAAACAGGTCAGTTGATGTTGAAGTTGAACGATTAAATTTTGTTGGTGTTCTTTTGTAGCTATACTTTGATCATTTAAACTGTGCAACTCGATTGATAATTGATTATTTCTGTTTTGTAAATCTTGTAGCTCGTTACGAAGTTGAACGATCGTTGCTTCAACATCTTGCGTTTGCGATAGTCTCATTTCTAATTGTTGTCTCTGAACTACCCACGTTGCCTGTTCTTCTCGCAATTTATGTATGGCCATTGCCTCTTCGTTCAATTGGCCCTGTAACTGTTGTATTTTCTGATTTTGATTATGTAAACGTTGGTCAGCAGTCTGCAGTTCTAAATTCTTTCCTTGAAGAGCGTCCTCTAATCCTTTTAACTTTTGCAGTAATTGCGACTTTTCGGCTTGCTGTTCGGCACGAATTTCACGAAGTCTGGCCTGTGCACTAGATAATGCCTCTTGTTCTTCTGATAGAAGTTTTTCTTTTTCGGCAAGTTGCTTCTTGAGCTTCTGAACTGGGTCCGCTTTACCCTATTATTTCATTGTTATAATTAAATCAACATTGATTTGTTTTCAATATTAATAGAAATTACGAAAAAATAAATTAAAAATACACCACCAACACTTTTTGTGAAATGTTGAAATAAATGGAGTCAAAATTGGCCTACGTAATAATACCAACAATTAATGTACAAAGATAGTCAAACATACCTCGCTCCATTCGCTGTCAGGAGAAGCCTCATGCTGCTTGTTTAGTAAGAGATCAATAAGTATTTGAACTTCAGATCGAGACAATTCAGCTGTACGCACCGCATCAATTAAAAGCTGCACATTTACGTCTCCGTTAGCTCCAGCTGCACGTAAAGCAATAAAATATTTTTTTAGCATGTTAAAAATGCTTCAATGACATCATACTGTATATAAAGCGGTCTGCAGGATTAAATAAGTCTACTTACACATAATTATCTATTTAAAAGGACATTTTCGATATATTTTGAAGTAAAACATTTACCTTTACCGGCAACTGAATATGAAAGACAACAGTCACAATTAAAACATAATACTTAATTAAATAAACTGTATATATAAGTAAGCCAAGAAGGAATACATTTCCATATACGTATTAAATACTAATCTTTTTAATAAAATAGTATCTCTAACAATATTAGGCATTTCAAATGTTTCTTGTCAATTAAAAGAATCAAATTGTCATAGCAGTACATTAAAATTATATAACTTACAAATTTGTTGCAATAACTGAATTTCACCTTTCCTCTTTTTCTTCTCTTTTGTTGAAGGGACGTTTAATATCTGTTGCACAGATGTTTGTTTCTGAAGTACCTCAGCCATTGTACATGATAAAAAATCTTCCTTCTTTTTCTCAGCATCTTTATCTTTTTCACTTTGCAAAATACTTGTTTCTTTTTGTTTAATTTTTTTGCCACCTTTTGTATTATCAGCCTGTTTTTCTTTCGTTTTTTCTTTAGGATCATCCTGAACGGATATTTGATTTTCTTTGTTCTTATTCAGCTTTTCCAATTGCTCTGATGTAGATTTGTTTCCTTTCACCGTATCAGGTTCAGAAACTGATATCTTACTTTTTTGTGATTTATTGGAATATTCGTCCCTCTAAATAAAAGTACATACATTAAGAAAATTTAACATATTTATCAATAAATAAAAACTGGAATATGAAAATAAGATACCTATAAACGCAAATTATACCAATTGCCATAGTCAACCAAGCAAGCAAAACACATTTTGCTAACACATAAACATAATGAATAATTTTAAAGCACTTTGAAGAAATACTAACCAGGAAAAGAAGAATAATTTTGATATAATTGAGATTAAGTATTTGTAGACTACTCAACTAACTTTTTGATTATTTACAGTTTCTAAAGCGTGATAGAGCATTTAATATTTTTTTAAAAATAAACGACTGTTGATGAGACATAGGTGACCTATGTGACAGATTGTAGTGGTATTTCTATTTTGGAAAGTAAAACAAAAATATAAATATCTCAAAATTAATAATAATTGATTCTTTTTAAAACAAACCTACTTGTTTTGCATTATTTTCTAATACACTTTTATTATGTATTCGTGCGTTTCCTTGAAGATAGTCTGTATCTTTTGAATCAACAAAATCTTTATTTAGTTGAGCACAACTTCCAATATTGTTTCTATCTTTTACGTGTTTATCGCGATTTTGTACATTTCCCATATTTTAATTGATTAATTTCAAAAAATATTATATTACACCTTTCACATTTTACATAATTGTTATTTCAATAATCCACAGATTCCTTGATAGACTTTAAAAAATATCAAAAGCAGCTTGAATTCACAAAAATAATAAAAATATTCTTTTAAAGAAAAACAACTTACAGTCTGTGAATTTGACCTGGACCGTACCAATTCAAATTCATCCTTAGGATGAATTTTCTCAAAATGGTTCGCAGGTGGAACTTCAATATTTGGGATGACTGGCCTATTTTCTTTAGGGTCTTTTTGAAGTAGTATTGGACGAACTTTTTTCACATGCTTCTGCTACAAATCCAAGCAACATGCATGCTTCATGATCACCCTTATTAACATAATTGTTTAAAAACTATTGCTATCAATTTTGAATTGAGCAGTTTCAAAATAAAATGCAAATCTGAATTGCAAAAGAACCATCAAAAGCAAAATAATTTTTACTTGATCATTGTGTCCTAATTTTTTAATCTCTATCAGAAAACTGTAATTAAAGTGTATTTTTCCATTTAAAATGCATTAAAGAAACTAAGGAATCTAACATACAAAATGCATTTCAAAAACTTTCTCTTAAGAGTTAATGAAATTACCGTATCAGCAAAATTAGGAATTTGAATTTCTTCAGATAAAACTTCAATAATTGTAGGCTTTTGAAATTCAACATGTAAATTCACTTTTGGGTTATTGAAATTGGTTTCTGTAAGAGTTGTTTCATTATTTTCTGATTCTTCGGTTATTTCTGCATTTGAAGCAACCACATGCTTCTCTTTCACCTGAAAACATTTAGTAAATTGTAACCATAAGTTTTAATACCAGGTAATGTTACAATAAAATAACTCTACTGAATATGAATATTTTAAGCAATAATTAATCAGATATATACACGTGTGTCTGCAAAAAATAAAATCAGTAAAATATTTCAGTTCACGTTTACCTTCTTTGATGTCTTTTTCTGTTTCTTATCTTTTGCTTTTGGTCGTGTCTGAGCTCCTAAAAGTACATTTGTTTGCTGTCTTTGTTCAGCTAATGCATCTTCATAAGTTTTTTCTTTTGTACCAAACAGGGAAACCAATATAAGAACTGCAGATACTACTACAAAAACTATGAAGGCAAATATTGCAATTTGAGCTTCCATTATCCTAAAAAGGCATACTACAGTTGCAAGCGAAAAATCATACCAGTTTCTGGCGTATTTTAAAATATGTTTTTAAGTTCACGTTTTATTATACATTTTTTAACAAGAATTTTGCTTTAATTTATCACATTACATTCAGTATACTCTTTCTATTAAGGATTTAGTAAAAAAAAATGACATGTAATCAAAGCCACGTAGCAACATTAGTAAACCGTATAAATGTGTCATTAAATATGAAATGCAAAGCGTGAGTGGCCGGCCCTGTTCCAGTCATAAGCAATTTTTTTCTGGAATTCCTTAATATTAAATTTTAATTTCGCATTAGATGTTATTTATAAATCATCTTACCAGATTTATTTATTAGAAACAGCAATATGTAGAAAACTTATTTAACACAAAATTTTTAAAACAAATCACCAGAAATTGATCATGTTTAATTCAAATAAGCTTAACATAATGGCGACGTAGTATCTAATGCACCGAATAAGCAACCTCCATGCCACCTCATGTCAATTATACACATTATGCGCTTGATCTTCACTTAGCTTCCTGCTTACTGCTGTTGTTACTTGCGGTTACACTAGAGGGCATTAAAACTTTTTTTTTCGATTTTCCTCGAAAAATAAAATTTCATAAAAATTTTCTTTGAACTGGGTTCTAAACTCTGAAGTGGTATCAATATGTTCTAATTTATGAATATGATTTAGTAATTTGCTAAATGGTTTTGATTTGTCTATGGTTTTGATGTAAGATGGTAATGTGCTTAATCTATGATGTATATCATAGATAATGGATACATAACATATTACCACAGTATAAATACTGTGATATTACCCTTTGTGTATCTGTGTGTATCTATTATCTATGGTATAAGGCAGTTTAAGGTCCGTTTAGTATTGTGTTCTTCTTGTCAATTAAAAGAATCAAATTGTCATAGCAGTACATTAAAATTATATAACTTACAAATTTGTTGCAATAACTGAATTTCACCTTTCCTCTTTTTCTTCTCTTTTGTTGAAGGGACGTTTAATATCTGTTGCACAGATGTTTGTTTCTGAAGTACCTCAGCCATTGTACATGATAAAAAATCTTCCTTCTTTTTCTCAGCATCTTTATCTTTTTCACTTTGCAAAATACTTGTTTCTTTTTGTTTAATTTTTTTGCCACCTTTTGTATTATCAGCCTGTTTTTCTTTCGTTTTTTCTTTAGGATCATCCTGAACGGATATTTGATTTTCTTTGTTCTTATTCAGCTTTTCCAATTGCTCTGATGTAGATTTGTTTCCTTTCACCGTATCAGGTTCAGAAACTGATATCTTACTTTTTTGTGATTTATTGGAATATTCGTCCCTCTAAATAAAAGTACATACATTAAGAAAATTTAACATATTTATCAATAAATAAAAACTGGAATATGAAAATAAGATACCTATAAACGCAAATTATACCAATTGCCATAGTCAACCAAGCAAGCAAAACACATTTTGCTAACANGATTTCTAGTAACATACTTTAACACAGAAAAGGTTAAGGTTCAAACTAGGGAATTAAAATGTATAATTTATTGTTATTGTTATTATTCACTTTCCAAAATACATGGTTGTTTAAAATTTAAATGTTTAATATTGCATTATAAAGTGACGTTCTAAATTAAAAATGTTTATTTTAGTAGTACAAAATTTTCATAGGAGTTAATAAATAATTGTAGTAACAGTAACCCTGGAATTACAGGTCGAATGATATATCCAGATAAACGCAAGGGTCTTTTATATATATATCAAAGCGATGATTCATTAATGCATTTTTGCTGGCAAGATCGATCTACTGGTATGAATATTTCAACTAAATTACAAATATCACTGAATAATACAAGTTAATTTGTATTAAATATTATTTTAGGATTTGTTGAAGATGATCTTATAATATTTCCTGATGACTGTGAATATGTAAGAGTTCCTCAGTGTACAACAGGGCGTGCATATCTTTTGAAATTTAAATCTTCTAGTAGAAGATTTTTCTTTTGGTTGCAAGTATGTACCTATTTCATTTTCCCAATGTAGATAAGTATTTTTGGAATATGACATTTTTAGGAACCACGAACAGATAAAGACGATGAAAACTGCAAATACATTAATGAGCTGTTAAATAATCCATCAAGTAGTGTTCAAAACTCAGGAATGCGCGATCAAAATTTACAGTCGCTTCTCAACAACATGTCACAATCACAACTAATGCAGTTATTTGGTGGAGGTCAAATTGGAAGCCTATCTAGTTTATTAGGAACAATGAATCGGCCGTCACCTGCATCTAGAAATTCTACCCCTGCAATAACTCATCGGTCAACACCAGCAAGTGCAACCACGCCAAGTAATCCCCCAGCAGTTCCAGACACTAATTCAACATCTCAAATTACATCAAGTGCAACTGAAGCATCTAAGAAAAATGATAATCCCATCCAGTTGTCAGATTTACAAAATTTTTTGCAAGGTATTGCATCTCCTGGTAGTGAACAGCAGCAGCAAAACCAAACTGTTGATCTATCTACAGCATTAAACAGTGAGTCACTCTCAGGAATATTGAGCAGTTCTGAGGCCATTCAACAACTGCAGAGCCATTTACCAGATGTAGGAGGAAATTCAGCAGAACAACTTCGATCTACCCTCTCATCCCCACAATTTCAACAAGCAGTTCAACAGTTTTCTAGTGCATTAGAATCTGGTCAGCTAGGGCCAGTTGTTTCTCAGTTATCTGTTAGTCAGGAAGCAGTAGCTGCTGCATCTGAAGGCAACATGGCTGAATTTGTAAAAGCATTAGAAAACTCGGTGGCTAATGATGCTACTCAAGATAAAGATAAAAGTAAAAAAGAAGATGGAAACGAGGATAAGAAAGATGATGAAGGAATGCAACTTGACTAATTATTATTAACTGCTACTTGTCTTAAAAATTGCTTACTAGTAAATGATTAACATAAATGTTCCAATTTTAAGTTGCATTATGAATATAAAAAACATAAGTTTGTTGTTTTATTTAAGACTAATTTCAATTTTGTAAAAAAATATCGAAATCACTTCAGGCGTTTCGAAGATTGGACCATACAAACCCAACCGGTAGCCTGGATTACTTGAAACAGTTGCACTTGTTACATATACTTTCTTAAGAAAAGTAAATAAACATTTAATTTTTCTTAAGTAGACAGCAAATTTTAAATAAGTAAAATGTAATACACAATGCCGCTATAGTTTTATAAAAACTAAAAGGAGTCTACCTGTATTTAGTCTAGGATCAAACTTTTCGATTAAAGAGTAGTTATCAAGAAAGAGTATAATTTTTGTACCCATTGTAAAGTATAAGATTCTATTAATAGTGCAAATGAATATATCTGCAAATTAAAATAATGTAATTGAAATATCGATCGAACTACGCGCAAGTTTTTATGAGTATCGTGATTAAAATAAAAAGTAAAAAAGAGGTATCTCACAATTTTGTACTTTATTTATTACAATGCATTTCACAGTCTCCCTGATAGATACAGAATTCATCAGCTGTAATAATCTCATTCGTTTTATAAACTCTTAAAGCTACTAACAAGTAGTAAATCAATATTAATGAAATTAATAACATGGAAGTGGAAAAAACTTTTTTTTATAGGGATATAGAATCAAACTATTTAAATAAAATAATTGTGTAACTGTGATGTTTATTAATGACGATCAGCATGACATAAAATATAGAAAATAANATGAAAAATCAACTATTGATTGATGGTATTTATTCATTTAACTCCATCAAAAACGCTTACATTCTAATTGTCCCTCTATTCTTATAATGGTAATCGCTTTTTAAAAGTAGTAATAATTATTACTCATTATTTGATGCAAAATACAATTGAAACATATTTTGGGATATAGAATCAAACTATTTAAATAAAATAATTGTGTAACTGTGATGTTTATTAATGACGATCAGCATGACATAAAATATAGAAAATAAATCTTAGTAATAACGTAGTAGATTTATAAAGGTACAAGTTGTATTTACTTTTTCCACCTCCAAATTACAAACAAAAAATCAACACCAATTTATAAATCGTTTTATATGATGAACATATAACAATAACTTGGTGTTTTATATTTGTTCACAATTTGGAAACAATTTAATGTATGACAATGTTGAGCAAAATTTCTATTGCAAGTAAATAAAACAAAGAATGAAGTATTTAACGACAATAATAAAGATAGGTATTTATAATACTTATCTTAAATCAAAATTTTATCTTGTATTTTATTTTCTTAAATAATTAATTTTAATGCGACTATATAGTGCCAATAAAAAATCTTTTTAAACAACGTTCCAACAAAGATATAAATGCAAAAATGATAATAACACTTTTTATTTGAAATATTTAGTTTTCTAATCTTATAAAAAAATATATAAGAAATCGTCAATGAAATAAATAATATCACAATAAAAAAATCTTAGATAAAGAACATGTACAATTAGACAATTCTTTCTTGCGATAAATACGTCTTTATTGCACTAATAAATACATATTACCACAGT